TATGTCTGATTAGAGGCAGACAGTATAGCATGAAATTCAATCTTTGTGCTGTTACATGCTTTGTTAACCATATACAGAAAGGACAAGAAGAAAAGTAAATCACTTTACTGTTTGTATTTATTTATTTATTTTTCTTTTTTTGAGACAGAGTCTCGCTCTATTGCCCAGGCTGGAGTGCAGTGGTGCAATCTCGGCTCACTGCAAGCTCTGCCTCCCAGGTTCACGCCATTCTCCTGCCTCAGCCTCCTGAGTAGCTGGGACTACAGGTGCCCACCACCACGCCTGGCTAATTTTTTTGTATTTTTAGTAGAGACGGGGTTTCACCGTGTTCGCCAGGATGGTCTCTATCTCCTGACCTCGTGATCCACCCGCCTCGGCCTCCCAAAGTGCTGGGATTACAGGTGTGAGCCACCGCGCCTGGCCTGTATTTATTATTATTAATAAATACTTATTTATTCCTTATTCCTTATTATTTATCATTATTTCATTTATTATTTAAGAGATGAAGTGTCATTATATTGCCCAGGCTGGTCTCAAACCCGTGCCTTCAAGTGATCCTCTTGCTTCAGCCTTTCAAAATGCTGGGATTTCAGGTGGTAAGCCACCGTGCCCAGCCACAAATCACTTTATGGTGCTGTTTAATTATATGAATCCTATGAGGTCTTCTGTAAGGTCTCTAATAGTGTATGTGACTAAGATAGAATTGGTGTCAGAAACAAAACCCAAAAACAGAAACTTTAGTGTGTCTTCTAAAATTCCACTAAGGAAGATGTGTCTTTCACTTAAGATCCCAAGTCACATAGCCCATAATCACTTTTTTTCGTTCTTTGTTTTTTGTTTTTTGAGATGGAGTATCACTCTGTCACACAGACTGGAGTGCAGTGGCATGAACTTGGCTCACTGCAACCTCCGTTTCCTGGGTTCAAGCAATTCTCCTGCCTCAACCTCCTGAGTAGCTGGGATTACAGGCGTGCACCATTTTGCCTGGTTAATTTTTTGTATTTTTAGTAGAGACAGGGTTTCACCATGTTGGCCAGGCTGGTCTTGAACTCCTGACGTCAAGTGATCCACCTGCCTCGACTTCCCAAAGTGCTGGGATTACAGGTGTAAGCCACCGCGCCCAGCCTCCATATTCACTTTTGATGACACGTTGAGTGCTTTCTTTCTCTGACATGACACTGAGTACTTTATTTCTCATTTACATCTTACCACAAAAACTACTGGATTTCATCATTTTTGTCATTTTTACTTATGAAGAATTCAAGGCTTAAAAAAAGCCAAGCATTACTTTGCCACCGAGAAGGGGGCAAAGCACAAATGGAAGCCCTGAGCTTTCTGACCTAAAATCCTAGGCTCTTAACCACCCTGCTACCCTGCCTTCATTCTTACCATGATCTCATAATTTGTGCTTATATAGGCTGCATTCAGCAACCAAAACTGAGTGGTTTCCTCAGGAAAACAGAGCTATAACCAGTGCATTGAGAGGATCTGATGGACAATGTAATTTTATGGACTGAATGATATGAAATATGTATCCAACACTTTGGCATGTGTAAAAGAAGACCTACATATTTCAAAGCAGTTACAGATGCAAAATACATCCATAGAAATATATGTTCCATATACTTGGAAGGCTGAGGCAGGAGGATCGCTTGAGCCCAGGAGTTTGAGAGCAACCTGGGCAACATGATGATACACTGTCCCTACAAAAAAAATACAAAAATTAGCTGGGTGTAGTGGCTCACACCTGTAAGCCCAGCACTTTGGGAGGCCGGGGCGGGTGGATCACCTGAGGTCAGGAGTTTGAGACCATCCTGGCCAACATGGTGAAACCCCATCTTTACTAAAAATACGAAACTTAGCTGGGCATGGTGGCATGTACCTGTAATCCCAGCTACTAGGGGGACTGAGGCAGGAGGATCACTTGAACCCGGGAGGTGGAGGTTGCCGTGAACCGAGATCGTGTCACTGCACTCCGGTCTGGGTGACAGAGTGAGACTCTGTCAAGAAAGAAAGAAGAAAGAAAAGCGAAACAAGGAAAGAAGGGAAGGAAGGGAGGGAGGGAGGGAGGAAGGTCCTTTCTGGGTTTCCATCTAAAATCAAAGAAGAAATCATTGGTTTCAATAACAATATTTTAAAATCTACCGTATGACTTTTTTTTCTTTAAAAGAAAAATATCAATCTAAGAAAATAATACCTAACATGGTGTTAATGAAAAGTAGGATGGATTGTTTATGTGTACATAAGAACTTAAAGTTCAAAGGAAAAACAGCATGCATATCAGCATGTTGACCTGGCTCCGCTGACAGCCAGGATTACCAGTTATTTCACTTGGTGTGTACCAATGCCACTTGGAAACTACCCACCTTCCATGAGCAGGTCTACTCAACAAAATCTTACTTTCATGAGACTGTGAGGATATACAACTGGGGACATTTCTTATACTCAGAGGACCACAAGTCATGGCTGTGGCCACTTCTGATTCTGACTTCAGGGGTCACCCAGATCCTAAGCCACCCAAACCTGATAAAGGCAAGTTGATCTTGGGCAAGGTTCAGAGCCAGCAGCACAGCTGAAAGGTAGTGGAGAGCACTTTCAGATGCTATATTTCAACATTTCAACTGACATGAAGTGAAGCAAGAGGGGAAATAACTAACAATAATCTGAATAAAAAACAAAAGAAAAAAAAAAGGGCCAGGTGTGGTGGCTTACACCTGTAATCCCAGCAGTTTGGGAGGCTGAGGCAGGTGAATCACCTGAGGTCAGGAGTTCGAGACCAGCCTGGCCAATGTGGCGAAACTCTGTCTCTAGTAGAAATACAAAAATTAGCCGGGCATGGTGGCATGTACCTGTAATCCCAGCTACTAGCGAGACTGAGGCAGGAGGATTGCTTGAACTTGGCAGAGGTTGCAGTGAACCAAGATTGTGCCACTGTACTCCAGCCTGGGCAACGGAGCGAGACTCTGTCTCAAAAAAAAAAAAAAAAAAAAAAAGAAAAAGAAAAAGGAAAGAAAAGGACTGTCCTGGGTTTACAGGTAGCTCACACCTGTAATCCCAGCACTTTGGGAGGCTGAGGCAGGAGGATTGCTTGAGCCCAGGAGACCAATCTGGGCAATAGAGCAATACACTGTCTCTACAAAAAATTTTAAAAATCAGCCAGGTGTAGTGATACACATCTGTAGTCCTAACTCAGGAGGCTAAGGCAGGAGGATTGCTTAAGTCCATATTGTGGTGAGCTATGACTGTACGACTCCATTCCAGCCTGGGCTACAGAGTGAGATCCCATCTCTAAATAAATAAATAGACCATAAATTCTGTAATGTGAATCTTTAGACGAAGACTACTAAATCCATCAAATGATATATGAAGTTTTGTTACAACAAATGTTTATATATTGAGTTAAAAATTATCTGTACACATACACACAACCTGCATTTACTTAGTTTAAAAGGAGTGTCAATATTAAAATTGGGGATTTTGGCCAATTTGGGTGCAGTGGCTCATGCCTGTAATTCCAGCACTTTGGGAGGCTGGGTAGATCATCTGAGGTCAGAAGTTTGAGACCAGACTGGCCAACCTGGTGAAAACCCGTCCCTACTAAAAATGCAAAAATTAGCCGGGCATGGTGGTGCGCCCCTGTTATCCCAGCTACTCGGGAGGCTGAGGCAGGAGAATTGATTGAACCCGGGAGGCAGAGGCTGCAGTGAGCTGAGTTCATGCCACTGCACACCAGCCTGGGCGACAGAGTGAGACCCTGTCTCAAAAAAAAAAATCATTTTTTGTTTTTTTGTTGTTATTATTGTTTTTGAAGATGGAGTCTCACTCTGTCGCCCAGGTTGGAGTACAGTGGCACGATCTCAGATCGCTGCAACCTCTGCCTCCCAGGTTCAAGCAATTCTCTCGCCTCAGCCTCCCAAGTAGCTGGGATTACAGGGCTGCACCACCACACCTGGCTAATTTTTGCATTTTTAGTAGAGATGGAGTTTCACCATGTTGGCCAGGCTGGTCTCGAACTCCTGACCTCAGGTGATCTGCCTGTCTTGGCTTCCCAAAGTGCTGGGATTACAGGTGTGAGTGACCATGCCCGGCCTAAGAATAATAACTTTATAATTATGAAAAATGTATTACGTATTCATCAGTTTGCCAGCATTAATCTCAAAGCATAAGTTTTACTTTTTGGGGATAAAGAGATAGATTGTGTTTTAGCCATATGACCAATGTAGAAACAAGCTAAGGTTAACTCCTCATCTAATGAATAGGCCCGATAAAAAAGTTGGTTGACCACAACATGAATAAATAAATGACCATAAGCTTGGAAATGCTACCTCTAGTGTTTCAGAGTGTCGATCACATTTGTAGTCATCACTTAAAGAATTAATGTCTGCCAATGTTGTCATCTAAAATGTATTTACAGAGGTCAGAAGAGCTATGTCTGTCCTCCTCTATGCAAAGAGGTGACGACATCAAGGGGTATGTCACAAGCCAAAGTTTAGTTAGACTAAGTTAGTTAGCTGGTTTGTAGTTTTATCCACTAAGTCTGATCTTCTGACCCCTCAGTTTTACAACTTTCCACTCTCTGTGCTGCACAGCACCTCTCCACTTCTGAGTTAATCATTTCTTTGCCATTATCTGGCAAGAATTCTTATCTCTTTTGCTGTCACTTTATAACAAGGTCCTCTTATCAACCTGCATAGAGTCATGTGATGAGTCAAAGCCTATCAAAAGTTTCCACTCTTCTGATTAGAAATCATCATGAAACTGGATACATGGTTTACAGCAGGTCACTAATGTTGGAAAAAGTACAGAGTCCAGGGAAAGACTTGCTTGTAACTTTATGAATTCTGGATTTTTTTTTTTCCTTTGCTTTTTCTTAACTTTCACTAAGGGTTACCGCAGTCTGATGTGTCCTTCCCAAGGCCACGAAATTTGACAAGCTGCACTTTTCTTTTGCTCAATGATTTCTGCTTTAGGCCAAAGAACTGCCTATAATTTCACGAAGAATGTCTTCTAATTCGGATACTAGGGATTTACAAGAGTCTTTAAAGCACGGACTTACACCTATTGGTAAGTAGGAGTTGCTCTATTGATCATCTATTCATTCTGCTAGTACCTACCTATAATTTAATCTCGTTGATGGATTTTGCATTTTAAGTCATGGCTTTTCCTATTATGTTTATTATAAGCACATACTAAGCCCATGTATGTGTATCACACATTTATCTTTCTTGCAGTTCAAAAAAAGCAAATGGATATTTCAACATATGAATATTATTCATTATATCTAGTGTTTACTGGTGGCATTCTATTAGCCTAAACAGCAAGAAAATATAATTTATAATTTAACAATTTCAACTTTAATATTTTCCGATAATTTTAATCAGAAATAAGAAGCTAAAATTTGAACAATTTGAAACAAGTTAATCATATTGAGTGATCATTGATCAAACTTTAACAGATAGCTGTCAAGTATTTGTTACTTTTCAACCCACACAAAAGTATGGTGTCTCATTCTCTGCTTATACTGTAAAAACTTTTCATTTTATCTTCCTGGGGAATGAAAGTCATGCCCCCCCGCCAAAAAATAAAACCCAAAAAACTAGACCATTACAAATAAAGGATTTGAAGTTAAGAGCTACTTTTTTTTTTTTTTGCAACAATTAGTATATTTTGTTTTTACAAACAGAAATAAGTAAATCAAGCTACTTTTCATTTAAAAAATAGAGTTACAGACTTGTGAATTTTATAGCAAGACTACATTCAATTAATCCTAAAAGTAAAGGACTAAAGGGAAGTGATTCTCAGTGGTCTGTATTTGTCTGTTGGAAGTCATGCCCTTCTGCCTTTCCCCGGTTTTTAAAGGACCTGTGTCTTTTCTGGTAGCATTTTCCTAGGCTTTTGGACTGGAATTTCCCTCCGATTTTGCAGGGGCCTGTCATGAGTCTTAGCTCCATTGTAACAGGAAAGAAAATCAAGGCTTGAGTTTTTCCTCTTTTTTCCTTCCGAGTCAGCTGACTCCACAGAATGCAGTGATTGCTTTTTTTAATGGGCCAACTACACCCTAAAGTATATCACTTGAGGAAATGCTTACCAAAAATGTTCTATACTTACGAAAAAGAAAACACGGGGAAGGCAAGCAGGGTGTAACACACAATCAATTGTTCTGCAGATAACACAGAAAATACAGGCACAAGAAAGATGAGAGAGAAGCACAAAACGATTTCGCATCTTTTTCGTCCGTCTGAACCGCCGCGGTGTGCAGGCGAGGAGTCCTTCCCGGTAGCTCCGCGCAGCTCCGGCTCCGCGTCGAGGGCCGCAGCTAGAGCGCGCTCGGGCCGGAGACGCGGACTGAGCGCGCACGGGGGACGCGCGCACGGGGAACGCGCGCTCGGGGGCTCGCGCCCGCGCGGGCGGTCTTGGGCTCCCGCTGCGCGCAGCCCCAGCTGGCCGCTGCCAAAGTAGAGTTGAGCTGGGTCGGGAGACTACACACCCCGATCCCCCGCTGTCCTCCCCCAGACCCCATGGGTGAATTAAAGAGGGTAAGGTAGGGGAAGGAGACGCTGTTGCACTTCTCTCTGCAACCCGGGAAGAACTGTATTTCCACCGACCGCACCCGCGACTCACATCGCAAGGAACCGAGGCGGGTACACGCTGAGCGTAAACAGAGAACACCTGCAGCTCTGAAATCCGTCCCACCGCAGAGGGCTGGGAACCAGAGGACTGTCGGTCCAGCCCATGAGAGGCTGCTGGGGACTAAGCCTCAAGAAAAGTACCGAAGAAGGCTCTCCCCTGGCCTCAGCGAGCCTACCCCAACTTCCTAAACCTGTGCAGGCACTTCCGGGCGCCGGATTCCGGGATAACAAAATTCCAGTTTCCGGTAAAAGAGACCTCTTTCAGGATCTTGTTCGCAGCCACCCGCCCCTTCCCAACTCAAGCACACCCCCTCCGCCTCCTGGTATTGCAGCCCCGCAGGTGGTTGTGAGGTGTCCGCATCTGCAACATCTTAGTGACCCCGAGAGATCATCTGTTTAACCTCGTAGCCTCCTGGAGGGTGCTGACGGTCGTTCCCAGGGGGAATGGCTGGACAGAGCCATCCAAAGGGCTAAGGGAGAGGAAGAGAGGGCGGTGAGGAGCCATCAGACTGAACTGTTGGATTGAAGGGCCTGACCCGATTCCTGAAGGAGAGATGCTCTTTGAATGGGTCTTTCTGATTTGCCCAGGGCAGCTCCACTGGGAAGAACCCACGGGGGCAGCTGTAGAGAGTGACTGAGGGTCTCGAGAGTAGCTTTCAGATGACAAATTGCAAGCTGGGTTGTGTTGAGTCGTTCACAAAACTGAGCCCGGTGTATGTAGACATCAGTCAGGGTTTACAATTCTACATTTAATTCAGTTGTGTTGTACTAGGAAATGGGCCTCGTTTTATTTAAAAAGCGACTCTATGGTTTTTAACTAGGGACTACATCTTGTATGCACACTGATGGTTACATGAAAGTTTTGTATAGATGTCTGTGCTTGTATAGAAAAGCAGAATTGAGATAAAGTTGTTCCTTCTGCCTACCTGCAAGATAATCATTCAATGTAGTGTAAAAGCAGCACACTCAGGTTATAACTAGATTGCTCCCTTAAAGTTAACTAACTCTGGGACGCTGGTCAAACTCTTGGTTTCTCGTCTCTGTTTTCTTCTTCCTCCCAGATGGGATGATTCTATTGAATAATATGCAGTACTAACTTTAGAGGCTTTTTATACTTACCTGTATCAAGAAAAGAGCCTTATCTGTGTGGTAGGAAATATGTTATACATGAAACAAGTATTTATTGACAACTCCCACAATGTGCCCAATATTATGCTTTGATTCATATTAAATTTCCATAATTCTTCAAATTAACTGCATTTGCAGAATATTTTATGCATTCAATATAATATTGCATATTATCCACAGAAGGTTATGTCTGCGTACTTAGGGGTACATGATACACAGTGCAAACACTGTATTGAGTCTGTAATGTGAGGCTTGCTATCTGGTCCCCTGAACACTCTGAGTCTGATTTTATCTCAGTGATAACCTCCACCAAGCTCTGCCCTCATAAGGATCTCTGAAAGTAGACGTCATCAGTGGAAAGTGTGATAGCCATTATGTCACCCTAACCTCCAGCCAGCTTTATTTAGAATGCTAACCACCCAAGCCCATGTTCTGATTCTCACAGCTGGGGCTTAGGCTACCAGTTTCTTCTGGGAAGCTAAACTCCGGAGCCTCCCTTCTTTCCATGCCCCAGCCCATCTCCAAAACAGCGCTTCTCAGATTCCTCTTTTCTGGCCTGGATTCACAGGTTGTGACCAGAGTTAGAAGAGTTCTTAGGCCAGGCAGTGTCTCAAACTGGTAATCCCAACACTTTGGGAGACTGAGGCTGGAGTATCACTTGAGCCCAGGAGATCGAGACCAGCCTAGGCAACATAGTGAGAACCAGTCTCTACAAAAAAAAAAAAAAAAAAAAAAAAAAAAAAAAAAAATAGCTGTGTGTGGTCGTGGTGGCATGTGTCTGTAGTCCCAGTGACTAGGGCTTGGGGGTGGAGGTGGGAAGATCACTTGAGCAAGGGAGGTCGAGGATGCTGTGATTATGCCTTGAACTCCAGCCTGGGTAACAAAGTGAGACCCTATCTCAAAAAAAAAAAAAAAAAAAAAAAAGGAAATCCTTTTTTTTTTTTTTTTTTTTTGAGGCATAGTTTCACTCTTGTTGCCCAAGCTGGAGTGCAATGGCATGATCTTGGCTCACTGCAACCTCAGCCTCCTGGGATTCAAGCAATTCTCCTGCTTCAGCCTCCCGAGCAGCTGGGATTACAGGTGCATGCCACCACGCCTGGCTAATTTTTTGTACTTTTAGAAGAAATGGGGTTTCACCATGTTATCCAGGCTGGTCTCAAACTCCTGACCTCAGGTGATCCACCCGCCTCGGCCTCTCAAAGTGCTGGGATTACAGGCGTGAGCCACTGCACCCGGCATCTTTAACATCTCTTCTAATAAACCAAGAGAGATTTATAGAGGAACAGAGAACAGAGGCTTGTTAATGCGTCTCTCCTTTACTTGACCCCTCCACCAGACACAATGTCTAGGATTATCTTGGATTCAGCCTTGAACATGAGCTGAGCTAGAGAAGGGCACGTTGTCAGACTTCCACTTACAGGCCCAACCCAATCCCCACCCCCAGGGATGCACTAGGCAGGCAAGACAACTTCACTCTACAGGTCTAGAGTCTACCTTAGGATAAAGCTAGTTCTTTGAGTTGCACTTCCTCACGCTTCACCTTATTGGAAGAGACTTCTCAGATTGGCTTCAAGAAACTTCAGGAGTTTGGAGGGCATTGTGCTCTGGGGAGGCCCTGAGGAAGAGTTGAAATATGACCAATATGATCTTGAGAGGTCAAGCTTGAGAAAACCATGTGAACTAAAACTGACCAGGCCAGTTGATAAAGGTTACCTCTTCTTTAGTCTTTTGGGAAGCTGTTATGTATGTTTTTGTGTGGTTGCTAAGTAAGAAAAGATATTTGGAGTTTAACTTTTAAACACCAAATAACCTGAATGCAGATGACCATGAGCACTTACATGAGCAGTTTTATCTGGTGATAAATGTAATTGTCTCCAAGGACTTTGTCAAGTCCTGCAAGACAATCAAGTTAACAAGCACATCCCACTGGAAGGTGGTCCTAGAATGGTTAGTGATTCCCTTTTTAGTTTTCTTACAGAATGATGAGTTTGAGTGAAGCTAAGGGGAAAGCAGGACAAAGGGGAACTGAGATATGTGTGTGTGTGTGTGTGTGTATCTCCAGCATAATACATTTCTTTCCTGGCACTGTCTCATTTAACTATAAAGCTTACTTTGTTAACCCAATTTTACTGATTTAAAGAATGGAATCAGAGGTCAAGTAATTTACTCAGCTTGTCAAGAGAATGAACTGTAAACAGAGCCCAAGAAATATTCTGAAATACATACTCTTTCTCCAAGGTAGTAACTACTTGTTCTTGCTGATATAAAGGAATTATGATTTAATACAATGTTGGTCTATGTAGACTTTCCTCCAAGAGATATTTCGAGCTTAAGAAACACATTTATAAGTGGCTTTTTAATCTTCCTTTCCATTCTACAGTAGAAATCAGATTTGGATCCTTCTAGAATTCAGAAGGGTGGCATAGGGAGTAGTGTATGGAGAGCAGAGTGGAAATCGCATCTGGGAGGACTGAGATTTGAGTGGGGTGGGATGAAGTCACTTCTGGTCCCCTACTCTGGAGTTTCCTGGAAAGGATCTCTGGAGTTTGGATGAAGTTTAGCTTGTGAATTTGTGGTGTATGGTAGCAACTCGCAGGGCTGCCAACAGACAGTGAGAAGGAACTGAGAGGAAATTCAGAGCATGTACTTGTTATAGAGTCAGTGGGTATGAGGAGGGCAGGGAAATCACTCAAATTGAGTGACTGAATTAGATAGCATAAACAAACATACTGTTGTCTCATGAAAGAAGGGGATAGGGAAAGACAATTTAGGTGTCAATTAAAAAAAAAAGCACTTTTGACAAACCCAACTGTGCCTCCTGCAGCGAGATAGGCTAGTCCCACACCCATGGTGGCATTTTTCACGGTAAGTGCTGGATTCCTTGCTCAGGGTTTGGATGCCTGCAGCCTCTGCTTCCCGGCCCCCTGCAAGCTCCACCTGCTCCAGCAGCCTCTACAGGAATGGAAAGAAACTTGGTCGGAATCCACTGCTTGGTCCTGGAATCAACTTCCCAGTTTCCAGACAAGAAACTCTGGAGAAAACAAGTGAATCTCTCTCAAGACTTGGCACACACTGTACGCCATCTCTTAATCGCAGAAGTTATCTCCATGTTGGAAGAGCCCACCCCCTTCTAATTGTGCAACCTCTGTAACTGCCCAGACCGTAACACTTTCCCTAGTTCCATGCCCCATGCTTGAGTGTGACCGTACCACTGTTAAGTCTTGCCTTTCCAAGCTCCCATTTTCTTTGTTGACCAAGTGAGACCCAAATTGCTGGACCCTGCACCCTGCGGTCCCTGCACTCTTTGACCTTAAGAATCAGAAGTTCGTAGCTCAGGCAGGGGCTTTTCTGAAGGAAGAAGTTTGGTTGGATTCATCCCCTCGCTGCAAAAGCCGAGGAATTCTGAAGCAATGCAGGACGTTACCCCTTCCATCAAGAAGTTTCAAGTATCGCCGGATACATTTAAATGGCAGCCTAGAATAATCTCGTGCTAAGGATTTTGTTCCTGACCCAGGTAGAGGTGGAGGAGAGGGTGTAAAGGAGGCAACTTCACGTGTTCAGCTAGTTTCACAAGGTGCTTTGTGGCCTGCTAGCCCCGGGATCGTCGTTCTGTTGGACCCGAGGCTGGACAGGATTGGTTCCAATGGATGGAGTCTCAATAGTTTTGAACTGGAGCTGGCTCAAATTTCCATTTCAATTACAGAGAGGAAGAGATAGATTAGACTGGACCACCTACCCGAGATTATTTCCCCTGCCCCGCTCTTTTCTCAAGACCGGATCTCCCTGTTACACTCTTCTAAGGGAATCGACTATACCCTGGTGGGGCGCGCCAGGACCCCTGGGTTGGGACAACATGCTGCAAAGAAAATAAGTGAAAAGGTTCTTCAGTGAACTCGTTTCATACAAAGAGCCGTAGATTCCGATATCCAGGCCAAACTCTCCAAAAACCCCTCCTTTCCTTTGGGGCAAGGGTGGGAGGTTGCCTGGGGGGTGGGTGGGGTAGGTTGGATTACCCAGATAATTGCTTTGGCTTTCGTTTTCCTCTGCGATAAAAACCGCACCACGCCAGATCAAGATATTCTCATAGTGATTGTGAATCAATCGCCATCCTTCTGCTCTAGGGGTTGATGTTGATGTCTTAAGTAGTTATTTACACGTGCAGCAGAAAGGCTTTTTTTTAAAAACGAGGCACGACTACTCACCTATTCACGTTTGCTTTTTTAGATCTTCGGTCAACTCGACGCTCCCCGGTAATTCCTTTGGCTGTACTGAAATTTAACCCGTCTCTTTTTAATGCAAAGTGCTCGGGATGCGGGCGGGTGGAGCCTACGGGCGTGGGCGGGTAGCCCAGCCCTCTGAGCCCAGGAATGAAACCGGAGTTCTGGCTAAACTTTTCAGAGAAAGGCAAAAGCGACTTCTGATGGGCTTTTCGGCTGGGAGGGGCGGAAAAATTAGGCAGACCCGGAGTTTCCGTAGGCTGATAAACTTGCTCCTCTTCCCCCTCGGGCTATCCCGGCCTAGTAACGGAGACCTGAAAAGAATCTAGACTTATTCTGGGGTCTAAAAAGTAGATATGTGGGACGAAAAAAGTAATTGTCCTGGTTTCTTTAAAAGCACCAAAAAGTGGGAATGGAAGAGTAGACGGGAGAAATTGTTTCCAAGGAGCAAGGTTTTGCAAGTTTTGTAGGAGTTTGGGTGGGTCATCTACCCAGGCGCGCGGGAAAGGTGTGTCTGCCACACCTTTTGCGAGTCCAGGAAATCTGAACCGCTCCTGAAAATCCTGATTTTTTTTTCCTTTGTAGCCCGCACGGGTCAAGCGCGCGGTGGCCGACCAACACTTCCCAGGTCAGGTCGAGCTGATTGCTCCCAGCTCGCGCTCCGAAATGCGGTGCTGAACCAAGGGAAGGAGGAGGTGGGGAGGAGGGCAGGCAGTTGCATCCTCGCGAGTGGGGAGTGCGAGACCTCCTCAGCTCCAGCCAGCTGGGTGAATGGGGCGCGCACGGCCCCGTAACGCCGAGCGTGGATAAAATATGCTAGGACTGCGCTTCTCGGGCTCATCAAGGCTGCGGGAGCCTCCCCGAGCCATCATCCTTCGTAATTGCAACCGTCAATCAACACTTCAAGACAAAGTCAGAATCCGGAAGGGCGAGCCCTGGAGACCAGTCTTGTCGGAAAGAAGGAGGTAGAGGGGAGGTGGGGGTAAAGGAGAGAAGTTTGCCAGAAGTTGACAGAGGGAGTGCAAAGAAATTGAGAATGCACAAGGTAGTTGAGCAGAGCTGTCCCCCGGTCCCACCACCGACTCCCGGACCTCCCGGGTTCTAGTCTCTGGTCTCTGCCACCAGTTACAATTCCCGCAGCGGCAAGTACGGGGTGGGTTCCTAAATGTGCTTCCACTAACAGAGTGGCAGTTGCTAAGATGTCCCTGACGGAGGATGAGATGCGTCTGTCCGCCCGCGATAGGTGCATTTATGGGTAGGTCCAGACCACCGCTGGCGCCGGCGTTTAGACCACACAGACCCCGTTCCACCTACTTACATCTCAACTGCTTTCCCTTCCCGCAGCCACTTGGCTGTCTTCACACTGCCGCCTCGGGAACCCAGAACCATTCCCAAGTATCCCATCTTAGACTCTGCGAACTCGGGTTCCTCCTCCCACAACTTCCTTTCGGAGAGGGCTTTCTGGGGGACGCCCAGGCCCATCCAAGGTCACTGAGCTAGCGGGTCCCCGGCTTCAATAGGGGTCCCTCACCCAGCAGAATTGAAGGGTCAAAGGACCAGAGTGAGTGCTCGGAAGGAGGAGGGAGTTCTGAGGGCTAAGAAAGGGTGCACTTGGAGGGCAGTAATGAGCTTGACGCTGGAAGTCTGGTGCTGCCGCCCCTTCCTCTGCATCTGCCTCCAGGGTGGAGACCCCGCTGCTTCCTTAAATCCCTAGCGGAGGTACCTGAGGAAGGTTTGTGTGCCCTCAGGTCTCTGGCAAGAATCAATGCCTGTGGAACATTCCTTGCCTCGTCCACTGCTGGAGGGGATCGTGACATCCTTCCAGGGGATCTGAAATAGGGTTGCCCCCAGGGAGCTTTTCCCGTCGTCGGGGTGGAGGCCTGGAGCGCGGAGGGCTTAGGCTTCTGAGCTAGGAGTTCACTTGGTTCTTAGGAAAGGCCGTTTTCTCTCGCTTGAGACTTGCTGCTCTTTCATTCCCCCTCCAGTTCGCTGCTACGCTTAGGTGTCGGCCTGGACTAGAGTTTCAAAGCAAAGGAAAGGGCTTCCCTCCGTGATATAAGTTCCTCCGTGAATTTTTTTAAAGCATGGATTTTTAAAACCCCGTCCCCAGCCACTATTCCCTCCCGCACCCCTCCCATTTTGTGAGGATTTTTCTTTCCTGGAAAGTCTACCTGTGGAGAGATAAATGAGTGCCAGCTGGCCTTTTGCCACCACCACTCTCCATCTTTCGGGGATGTGGTGGGAGGGTACACTGGCATGGACCGATAAGTTGCTAGTGTGGCCTAAGCAAGTCCCTTCTGGCCCTGGCAGCTGGCATTATGAGCATGGTCACAAAGCTTGCCTCACTAGATCAGCCTCAGCCTCAGTCTCAGCCTCAAGTCAAGGCAGGGTTTCTTGATACACTACAATTTCAAGGTCCTGTCAGACCCTTTTTCAACTTCTTTCAATTCTCCTAACTTCCCCCTGCTTCACCAAGCAGAGGTGAAATCACCATCACACACAGGGTTGGAGGCTTCCTCTAGGACCAAGGGTCTAGCGTCCTACATGCTTGCCAGGCTAGGATCTGGGAAAGGTGCTGTATCATAAGTGCCCCTATAAATTCTTCGAACTGCTGTGGGAGGAAGTTCTTCTTAATTAAGACTTTGAAATAAACTGATTTTCAGAGTTCACAAGCAAAGCAGGGCAACCACTGCAATAAGCCCTGAAACTAACTCCCTTTCTTTATTTTCTTAGTTCTCAGTGATATTTAAAACAACCAGGAATACTGAAATGTGGTGACAGTGATACTTGATACTATCATGAAAATTGGAGCTTTTGGCAACTTCAGCCCACTTCTCCATACAAACTAATGGACAGGCCTTCATAAGTTTAAACGTTTCCATGAAACCTGAAGTTGCTGCTAAAGCTGAAGCCTAAATAACTTTGATCCTGATCCTGAATATATACTGAAGAGCAAAATGATAAATTAGTTAAGAGAGTCAGTAGTACCTGAATTGCCAGGTATGAGTGGGTGATAAACAACCCATTTTATATAAATTATGCACTGCAAAGATTGAAATAATTTCCAATTCACCAAATACCGGACTGAGCAGTTTCAATGTGTAATCTCTATACCATTCAAATAGAATAAACTTAGATCTTTTGAGATTCAAATTCACCCCCTTGTGGGTGGACTCTGATAATTACTTCGTTGCAGAGCAGACCCTGAATATGAGGCATTTCGCATGCAGTCAGGAGGCTGGAAAGAATGTTTTTCATCTTGTTGGGAGGAGATCTGAAAACTTTGAAAATGCGGCTGGGCTGGTGGTCGAAGAGCTTGCATAACAGATGGTTCTTCAAAACATTTTTTAAATGCTGGGCCTCGGCCTTAAGTGGATGGTCCCATCAGACAACAGAATGAAAAAGTAGAGCCTGGACTGATCCTTGTATTCTGTGTGGAAACACAGGTCACTAAAACTGGAAAGTCTGTCGCTTAGACGATCTTGGGCTCCAGTCCAGGGTCTTTTAAAAGTAAACGAATGGACTAGGGCTCAGGCTGGGGAAATAGGAGTGGCTGCCCCTTCCTCTAATTCTAATGAGTGAGCTCTTGGCTTGTGGCCCGCCTCTCATTGAGCCGGGACCCTCGACCCCTTCAGGGCGCCGGGGCCCACGTGTCGCCTCTCCAGGGTCTCAGTGCCCTGGGGAGTTGAAGCTGGAGGACCCTTGACCGCGGACCAACTCTGCACGTAAGAACGGTCAGCTGAATTTTCTCCTTTCAGTGGTTTAAATGGGCGTTTAACTCCCCTTCATCTCCTCATCCGACACACTAGCTAGGGCACACGCCCACACGCGCCCCCATCCCTTCTTGCTTCCCCTCAGCTCGAGGAAATTGCCGCTCTGGCTGCTTCTTCTCCGCCACGCTCAGACAGAGGTCGCTTCTGACTAGCTGTAAGACCCGGCTGCATTTACAACCCCCCCGCCCCGGGCCAGGGTGGGGTGGGAGGGGGCGAGGCGGGGTGAAGAGGTTGGGGCAGGCCGGGGGCCTGGAGCCTGAGCCTCATCCTTATTGGCTGGCGGCTAGGGTCCGACCTGAGTCCGGAACCCGCGTCCCCATTCACTGTCTTCACCCCTCAATCCAGCCTTTCCCCCACCCCTGGCCCCACTTACCTCCTTCTCCCCCTCGTCTTCCCCCCGTCCTTCCCAGCACCGTCCCCCTCGGGGCTGGGAAGGGCCGTTCTCGGACCCGCGCGGGGAGTGGACCAGGCAGGAGAGGGAGGTTGGAACTTCACAACTCCACACTTGGAGATAGTGAGCGAGAGGGAGGCAGAGAGAGATAGGGGGAAGGGGCGGAGAGGAGGGGAGAGAGAAGGGAGGCGAGAGAAAGAGGAGAGAGACCCCTGCCGATCCTGAGCCAGCGGGCGGTGGAGGGAGGGGAAGGAGTCGCCCGAGCCGTCCGGGAGCAGTGGCAGCGGCACAGCCGAGGCGGCAATAGCAGCCCCGCGGTCGCCTTCGCTGCCCGCTGGGAGCTCGGCGGTTCACCGCTCCGCGCCCCGGGCAGCTGCGTCCTAGCCACCGCCGCCGCCTGCGCCCTTGCGGAGCCGAGCCAGAGTGCCGGGAAGCTGTCTTCCTCGCCTCCTTTCTTAACCCCGACCTCGTAGCTCGGGGGCGGCTCCGGAGCTGTGAGACCGGACAGGGCTCAGAGGTCCTGCCCGGCAGCCCCGAGGAGGCGGAGGCACGCTCTGGCGAGGCGAAAGGGTTGGGTGAGCGGGCACCCGGGTCTCGCCTTCCTTCTTTTCGCCGGAGTTGAATCTGTGCTGCCCGTGTCCAGGTGCTGGGCTTCCGGACCGACACGGATCCCCCGTCCCCGCCCGCGGTCGCCTTGTCATGCTGCCCAAAGTGGAGACGGAAGCCCTGGGACTGGCTCGATCGCATGGGGAACAGGGCCAGATGCCGGAAAACATGCAAGGTAAGGAGGCGCCGCGCGGCGCTCCGGCTCCCGCGGCTTCCCCACCCCCGGGCTCGCCCTGCAGGCTTCAGCCTCCCGCCCCGCGCGGGCGCGGGAGTAGCCCCGCTGGGCGCTCGCAGGCGCGGGAGTCAAGCCCCCTCCCCAGGTGCAGGCATAAAAGTTTATGGCTCTTGAACAATGTGGGGCAGAGGTTTGTCCAAGCAACGTCTAATTGGCCGCTTCTAATTAAGGAAAGAGAGGCTTCCAGCTCTATGGCAACCCAAGCAGGGCAGCTTCAGGCTAAAGGTACTTTAGAATAGTAAGATCATTCTAAGAAATGAAACGGCTCACTGAACGCCCGAACAGGTTCTCCGTCGTTGGAATTGGTTTGTGCTGTACTTCAACCAGTACTCTTGTGTGGAGGGAGGCGACCCAGTCTAGGAGAGTCAACTACAGAAAGAGGTGACCCCCGAAAGGATTGTCTTAGCGGTATTAGAATGCATGTGACCACCTCAAAAGCCCAGGAGGCACCCGTAGCCAGCTCGGATTTGGACAATTCAAAACTGCTGGCAGAAATGAAGGGAACAAGTTACCCCAACCCCATCCCCTGTACGCGTAGTGCTGAGTGAGTTGGGGGTGAGGGGGGGGGCGGGCAGTGGTTCGTTTATTGCCCCCTTTTAAAATCTGAAATCTGAAAATATGGAAGTCCCATTCGTTTTCCCAGCTCTTGATTGCCAACAAAAAACAAATCCCGCTGGCTGTATTTTCTCCGCATTCCAAAACAGCAACTCTAGATCTGGCTTGTATTAAGCCCTTCAGAAGTTTATCTCATTTGCTCTGGGCCAGGGAGGGAACAATGCTAGGAAAAGTCACCGGTGCTCTTCCATCCTCGCCCCTTCCAGGGTGCAGGATGTGCGGGCCGGCGGGCCTGTGATCCCGGAACGCTTCCTGCCATCCCCTTGCGCGAACTTGAAAGGGCTGGGAGGTGTTGAGAGCAGAGTTCAGGGCTGTGCACTCTGCGGTGCTGAGTGGGCGGCGCGCCCGGGCGCTCAGGCCCGGGGACCTGTCGTCGCCCTACCGCGGAGGGGAAAATACGTAGCTGGAGGGCGTGTGCCGTGCGGGTGTGATCCGTTACCCCATCGGTCATCCTGGGGTCTCTCCAAGCCTCTAGGTAGGGCTGTGAGAGTCCCCCGGAGCTGAGGCCCCAGAGGCTGACCTGTGGGTCTGGCTGCTATGGGAACCCGGCTGGTCCAAAGCAGGCTTTCTTCTGGGCACCTGGAATTCCAGCTTAGTGTGAGGCATCGGGGAAGTGGCGCGGGGAGGCTGAGCTGGGGGCCTCAGCCGGCAGCTCCCGAGAGCGCCTACCCTTGGGGTCGCTAGGTGAGGCCGACACGATTCTTGGCTCCAAAAGGAAAGTTTCTGCTTCTTGTTCTGGCGGGAGACACCAGAGGCTTATTTTGAGAGCGGAGAGAGAAATGTTATTGGTAACGTTTTCTTTGGAAAGTTCGAGAGGGGTCTTCTGTACACACTACCTACTGCCCCCAAACCAGAGAAGTAGTTTTTCTTTGGTGCCTGGGCCCAGAAGTCGCCACTCCCTCAGCCTATGGTTCGAAATCAGCATGGGACGCGCGGGGCAAAGCTTCATTGGAGACTAGAGGCCTGCCTCTCGGGAGGAGCCCCAGGGGATGGGGACCCCATTCTCTTGCTTGCTCTGTTTCCCACCTGGGAAGCCTCCGTAGTCCGACTCGTGGGGGAGCCCAGAAAGACGATTCACAACTTAGCCCCGGGACAGCGCAACGCGCCCAACTTTGAGGGAACTTTGTGCTCCTCTCTGAGGCCCCAGCTTTCCAAGGCACCGCCGTCCGTTCTTTCTCTGGACCGAAACTGGGGAAGAGTGTGGGCGCTTCTTTGCCCCGATGGGTTCGCTTCCCCAAACGCCTACGTCGGCAGCACCAGGGCACCTGGGAAATTCTGAAAGGTGCCCAGGCCTCACACAGCAGCGTCTCCCTACTCGGCCTCTGTCTTTGGGTCTTTTCAAGAGGGTCTCTACCTCATCCCTCGGTCTTTTTTCGAAGTCGGGTCCCCGAGGTAGGCACGGAGTCCCTCTGAAAGCAGTTACCTATCTGTGCCCCTTTGGTGTAAAGTTAGAGTTTACTTTGTTGGGGGAAGGGGAGGTAGAAAAGATCACACTTGGGAAAGTGCGCTGTTCGCCTTATTCCTAAAACGTGCCTCAAGACTGTCATCGCGATTGTTAGGAGAGCGATCAATGTCTAGGGCTATAAAGGAATTTCTGACCTCGGCCCTTCCCAAACCCCCAGGTTCCTAAAACCCTAGGCAGGGGTCTCTTGGGGCTGGGATTCAGGCTGGTACTGCTGGGAGGACCGCGCCTAGCATCCCTTTATTAATATTTCACGAAAGCAGGGTCCTGCCTCCTCTGGAGCCTCTTTTCTCGAAATTTTCCCCAACTCTGGTTAACTCACTCCCCTGTAAGCGCCACCCTAGGGCTCTGTGTCCCAGGAAGAGACGCGTCAACTCCGCGGGTCTGCGCGCAGTCCTCAGCCGCAGTGCTGCAAGTGACCCCCCCGACGGCCCTTTCCGACCGAAGCGCTCGGGAACCAAAGAGAAAAAAAAAACTTTATTTTCAAAAGAATAAGTCATCACTGCGGCGATACTGTGGCCGAGGACTTTGGCGATGGGGTGGGGGCTATTTCTCTTTCCTTTTTGGTAAACAAATCAGAGGAAACTTCTGTCCGGCCGTGGGTTTCCCATCCCCCACCTGCCCCACCCCCTGCAAACGCCACTGATTAACTTAAAACAAACTCGGCTTCGTGTTTGTGCGCCGTTGGGTAGCAGGAGGTAGAGCCTGGGCGAGAGCCTGGTGCGTCCACGGGTTTGGCCGAAGAGTGCCCAGGGGAATGCGGGCACGGTCCCGGCCGCGCAGACCTGCGGGTGCCCGCCCACCCGCGCCCCGCGCTCCCATACTTGACCTGTGTGGATGTGGAGTCTCCGGGAAATACCGGATCAGGCACTTCCTGGGGTCTCCTGGTCACTGCCCTTCCTGTGCATAGTTTGTCATCTTTTCAGCTGCGAAGACGCCTTCGCGGGTCTGCGTCCGGAGCAAGGCGGTTACCCGATCCCGGCAGTGAGCCGCGCCGCGCGTCGTCGCGGCCTGATTTCTGTTTAACTTTAACAGGGCGATCTCGAGGTGTTTATATTTTGCTATGATGATCGGAAACATGTGAGGTTCATTACAGGGCTTCAGTACTTTGAAACCAAAGCTCTCCCGTGTGCCTTTTACTCTTCTGGTATTTTTCCCCGTACGGGCGTCCTCTATTTTCTTTTTCCTTCCTTTTATTTTCACAGATTTTCAAACGTGAGGAGATGAAAGTATCCAGAATAGAAAAGTACTGTCAATACGGAACTGAAGGTTTCGATTATTCTAACAGATCTGAACGTTGGGAGCCTCAGGTTGTTTAGTTCAAGTGGGCTGCTCCTGAGAAGCGGGTTTCTGGGGCTTCAGTTTCTCTGTCGGACAGAGTTTGCGAATTGGTGCTGCTGTCTCTGTAAGCAAGGTGCACTTGCAGCAAACCACTTCAAGAGGGAGGGAATAAAGCCTGCGCTTGTTTCTCTACCTTAGGCGAAGGTGACATTTTGGAACTTCACTTCATAGGGATTTAAAAGAAATTCGAAACTGTTACTTTATGCAATTCATTTTTCTATTTGTTGCTTTGTGGAGTTATGAGACTTGTGTTTAAAATGGTCAGTTTAAAATGTTAATAGAAGAAGTTGGAATTGTTTGTGGCACATGGAATTATATAAGGTGCATGCTCATGGATGACAAAAGATGTTTTACTTGTAAAAATAGTTCAGTAAGACCTTGCTAAAAATTGTTTTAATTTTACATTTTACCATGTGATATTTGCCCAGCAATCACCAAAATGCTTTCTGTTGCGGGATTAACACCTACATGTAAATTAATTGAATATGTGTATACATTTCTCTTTTTGTTTCAGTGTCTCAATTTAAAATGGTGAATTACTCCTATGATGAAGATCTGGAAGAGCTTTGTCCCGTGTGTGGAGATAAAGTGTCTGGGTACCATTATGGGCTCCTCACCTGTGAAAGCTGCAAGGTTTGCTCACACATTGCTACCTGAAAAATATAATGTCCAACACCAAGATAAACCAGTGGATTACTTTTTTTAAGCTAAATTTAGGCTCCCTTTTTAAAGACTCAACTAAAAATGACAAAGAGGGAGAAAGAGAGTCTTAGGGAGATGATTCTTAAAAGTGTGTGTCTGATTTAGTTCAAAAGGCAAAGAAATTTATGCTGTTTAGAAAACTTTGCCAGTCTCATGGTTCTAAAATACTTTATTGTAGTAAAGTGATATAGCTGTAGAAAGACTTCCATTTCTAACAGTCCTAAATATTGATTTTGCTTGACTTATATATATTTAAAGCATCGTTGTTCTTGAGAGGGAATATGACAAAGTATTTCCCAAATACATTTTAACTTCAGAGTATTTCTGTGCTACAAGTCTAAACATTTTTTATCCACAGACATAAAAGCCTAAATTCCCAACTGTGTGATTTCATCTTGATTTATTCCAAAATAATTTTAAGGATTTTTTTGAAATTTATATCATAAAGACCAAGAAATCAGATTTTAGTTTTTAATATAATAATTTTTATAAATATATTGTATAACCTATTTAAATACATGGATTTTAATATGTAAAATATGCTATATTGTTAATATAAATTATACTTTAAGAATTTATCTCAGAACTTTTTAATATATTCCCAGTAAATTCAGTATTCACTAGTTTTCAAAGTTTTTTGTTTGTTTGTTTGTTTTTGTTTTTAAGTGGAAAACTCAGTACAATTACTTAAACCACCACCAGGAAAATCCCTCCATTCTCTATAACAAAGTAAGAATGTTTCTCTTTGTGGCGAGTAGGTTAAATGTGAATACTATCGTGGTAAAGTTCTTATTATATTATAAAGCTACACATTTTATTTTTGATTAACTCTTTTATATAAAATATAAGGAAAGCACATACCCTGTGTGCTACAATTCAGCTATCTGTGATACATGCTTTTTCTTTCCATTAGTTTCGCCTTTTTAAAAACAGTCCCCATATTTGAATGTATTCCAGTGGAATTATGAGCATTTTCCCATTTTACTCTTTAAATCCTTTTGCTTTTAACTATCCAGTGTTGACATTTGTTAACCCAAAAAAAAAAAAAAAAAAAAACTGAGGTGTTTTGCTGTTCAGTTTTTTCCACTGGCATTTTTCAATGGTTTATCACTGAAATTATATCAGACTACTTAAAAAACAATGCCAAAACTTTATGAGTACCTCTATCTGGAACATGTGGGATAATAGGAAAACAGATTTTTAAAAAAATTGATCAATATAGATTGTATTTTTTCTGACTGTTGGGATGAAATGGTGTGTAGCCAAATCTCCCCAAGATTTGACTTAATTCTTCAAGAATATAACTGATACCAGAAAAATCTCCACCATGGCCTGGCACAGTTTGGGAAGGTTGATGTTGCTGAAATGTAAAATAAACCACAGAACCACATAAGGGCTCAAATAGTGCAATGAAAGGATTTACTGGTGATTTTCTTAAAATGAAACAATGGAAAAGACGGATGTTAGATTTATAATACGTCTCACTATTTTCTCTGTCTTATAGGGATTTTTTAAGCGAACAGTCCAAAATAATAAAAGGTACACATGTATAGAAAACCAGAACTGCCAAATTGACAAAACACAGAGAAAGCGTTGTCCTTACTGTCGTTTTCAAAAATGTCTAAGTGTTGGAATGAAGCTAGAAGGTAAGATTCTTCTAAAGACTACTGCCTATTAAAACTCTCCAACGACATGGACTTTAAAACAACATTATACTTACAGCATGGTAACATTATTTTCCCAGGATTTTAACACTACTGACAATACTGTAAGATCTTTCTCTGTTTCGTCTGCAGAATAGTCTGAGTCTCATTTAATCATGGTGACATCTACTAGGAAGAAAATTTAAAATATTAGTTGTCTTCCCCCCCACCCCCCTTTTTTTTAGTTTGGGGAGCAGATTCATTTGACACAAAAAAGGAAAAAAGATCAGGTTATGAAAATAAGACTAAAACAATCCAACTGAATACAAGAATAATTTGTAAAACTATTAAAAGTAAAATATCCTTTAAGTTTTTAAATCAAGATACCCTAGGAAAAGTTTGATTTCAATCCTTTTTAAAATAGGTGTGCTTGTCATAAGTGTTAACTACTAATTTCATGATTCTTAAGCAACGGTTAAAGCCTTTAATGGTGAAAAGGAGTTTCTCATGTAGGATATTTTTGGTGGTGTAGAAATGCATTTTTTTTAAAAGATAATGACTGAGGCTGCAAAATAAAAAATTGAGAATCAGGAAACATGAAAAATAATGAACTATTAAATCATTAGTGAAGATTTAACAAGAACAAGAAAGTGGCTCCTCAAAAACCACACTTGAACTTTGTTGAAAGGGCAGACCCTATACTACAATGTACAGATTGGCAGCCAGTAAAGTTAATATGTGACTGCTGTAAATAATTTGTAGTTCATGTACTACTATGGTGTGTTGCTGCTTTCTAGCCTCTGACCTACTGGCTTTTCATGGATTAAATATACTGCAGATAAAGCAATAACAAGGGATACATATCACCGATGGTGCTAGATACAAGAGTGCATTTTATTTGATCAATGAGGCACAGGCTATTTTTATTTGGAACTTTTCTGTTATATGGAACTCATACTTGATAGAAATACTAAAAAAAAAAAAAAATCATATAAATCTGCTGAATAGCTAACACACTTCTTCCGAATAGAGGTAGCCACTTTGGTTATTATGAGGACTGTTAATGTCAGTATCATTTTTAAGAGACCATGAAAGGAAATAATTGATGCTTATTAATTTTCTTATTATCAATCACTATTATTTCCCAAATAGCAAAATATTGTGGTAGATGCTTACTACAGTAAGAGACTCAGAAGATAAGTAAATGTTGTGATTTTGCATGTCATTTAATTCCTTTTCAACAAAAATAATAAGGCTGCATTTCTTTACCTTAAATAATTAAACTAACTTTCTTTTTTTTTAAATTAAGCTTTCATAATTGTAAATCACCTGTGGTACATGCTCATGCTTCCTTAGGAGTGATATGAAACAACTGAATATTCAATAAATTATCATCCAGATGAAAAACTCTTTATAATCTTGTGCAATATTCTGTATACCTAGAATTCACAATAAATTTTTAATGTGATACTAATCCTAAGATAAAAAGCTGAAAAACTTAACCTCCAGCAAGTTCAATATGTCACAAGCTATCAAAGGTCTCTAGTTTCTGTCTAATTGCCATTGGCCACTATGGACTTAGAGGGAACTGCTAACTAACTTATTAGTCATGGCCGCAGACTCCACACACCACTGTGGCCAAAGACTGTCTTGACAGCTTCTGAAATGAGTTTGTTTTAATTATGTCCAATTCTACTTAAATTAAAAGCAATAACTGGTCGTCATCTGATGTGGGCTCATCAAGTCCAGGTGAAAATGATTTTCCAAGAAGAACATGTCCCCAACCGTTTTGTAATTGCAACAAGGTAGCCAAAATGGCTTTCAGGGAGGAAGGTATCTTGTGGAAAAGTATTCACAATTTAATCAAAAAATGGGTAACTCAATTCCACACCCCCGCAAAAGAAAACCCCAAAGCAGTTTGGGTTTCCATAAGGAACTGGTATAATAAAAGCATATACTCTTAGTAGAACAACTGATACTCTTTCTTAGCAATGTGAAATATTTATTTTCTTTTTCTTTTTTTTTTTTGAGACAGGAATTTCGCTCTTATTGCCCAGGCTGGAGTGCATTGGTGTGATCTTGGCTCACTGCAACCTCCACCTCCTGGGTTCAAGCGATTCTTGTGTCTCAGCCTCCTGAATAGCTGGGATTACAGGCACCCACCACCACACCTGGCTAATATTTTGCATTTTTAGTAGAGACTGGGTTTCATCATGTTGGTCAGGCTGGTCTTGAACTCCTGACCTCAGGTGATCCACCCGTCTTGGCCTCCCAAGGTGCAGGGATTACAGGTGTAAGCCACTGCACCAGGCCTATGTGAAATATTTCTATGTCTAACAAAAATTATGAACTCTCCTCAGTCCACAAAAGGGTTAATATGTCCCTATGTAGCCAAAATATTTTTTTGATGACAACACACACTTGGAGGAAGGAATTCATAAATAAAGAGGACATGGTTTTTTGGGAAATCTTTGTGGGCTATTGTAACGAAAACAACCACACACATACCACTTCTTGTCGATTTACATTTCTAAATATCTGAAGAATGCTAATAATTTGCACCTTATTTATACCTTTCCTTCCTTCCCCCTACCCCACCCCCAACAGCTGTAAGGGCCGACCGAATGCGTGGAGGAAGGAATAAGTTTGGGCCAATGTACAAGAGAGACAGGGCCCTGAAGCAACAGAAGAAAGCCCTCATCCGAGCCAATGGACTTAAGCTGGAAGCCATGTCTCAGGTGATCCAAGCTATGCCCTCTGACCTGACCATTTCCTCTGCAATTCAAAACATCCATTCTGCCTCCAAAGGCCTACCTCTGAACCATGCTGCCTTGCCGCCTACAGACTACGACAGAAGTCCCTTTGTAACATCCCCCATTAGCATGACAATGCCCCCTCACGGCAGCCTGCAAGGTTACCAAACATATGGCCACTTTCCTAGCCGGGCCATCAAGTCTGAGTACCCAGACCCCTATACCAGCTCACCCGAGTCCATAATGGGCTATTCGTATATGGATAGTTACCAGACCAGCTCTCCAGCAAGCATTCCACATCTGATACTGGAACTTTTGAAGTGTGAGCCAGATGAGCCTCAAGTCCAGGCTAAAATCATGGCTTATTTGCAGCAAGAGCAGGCTAACCGAAGCAAGCACGAAAAGCTGAGCACCTTTGGGCTTATGTGCAAAATGGCAGATCAAACTCTCTTCTCCATTGTCGAGTGGGCCAGGAGTAGTATCTTCTTCAGAGAACTTAAGGTATGCCACCAGCTATTACAACGTACAGTACCCCTTTTAAGAGAGACCTAACTATGTTCCTAATTAATACATTCTTGGTGCTGAAAATACATTTTCCTTAATTTTCTACTTTGTATGATTTACAGAGTAGATGTAATTTTATTACCTTGACTTCAGGACTATAGCAGCTTAACTTTATGGGGCTTTGATTCTGTGTAGCTCTTAATTTAGGGGGATGGCATTTAACATAAAGTACAGGAAACTCGGGCTTTTTTTCCTAAATAGTAGAATATCTGTATTCCTTTTAATTCAGATGGTTTGTGGCTTAAAACATTTCAAGTCAATGTGAAATAGCACCTAGTAAATGATTTTTCTTGAAAATTACCAAGTAAAGAGCTATGTTATAATGGTGTCATCTTGAAGGTTTCTTTCAAAGGAAAAAATGCCAACATTTAGTAGCGTTTAGACTCTAAGGAATGAAAATGATACCACTGGTTAGTAGTATCAAGTAGGTATTTACTACTGTTTACCTTGACATTAGGTTGGTAAAGCCTTTGTTTTCGGAGCAGATTCCAATAGGATGTTTACTGTCATTGGATGGGGAATGGGCAAATGGTGAGTGCTAGTTTACTTGGCTTGGGTTGTAGTTCTCATAATCTATGTCTTGTTGATTTTAGTGGACTGGTACATCGTAAACATAGTACTTGTTTGTATAGGGATCTATGTTTAAATTCATAATTATTTTATTTCCTGAAACTTAAGTCTGAATTAATGTGGGAAAGTTATTTAGAAGTTTGGAATCTAAGAGTGGCTACCAAAACACATTTGGTAGTCAGTGGTTTCATTCCTATTTTAAAAGTGAGTCTTGGATTTGATTTCCAAGTATATTTTGTCACAAAATCAATTTCTTCTTTTTGCTGTCACAGGGAGAGATGTGGCTGCTAAATATCTGTAGCTTGTGATTACCTAGGACAGGAGATTGATTGTAAAATTTCTGAGAGAAGGAAAATGCAAACCCGACTTTTAATTTTAAGAGTTACTGTTAAATATCGTCTGTGTAAGTAGATGGTCTGGGGAATGTGGAAGCCATGAAAAATGGAAAATAATGCTTTCATAGCAGTCTACATTAAGCACTGTTCTTTGTACATGGAAGCAAAAAAGTTACCTGAACAGACCTAAATAAGTTGATAAAATTCCATCAGCACGCTGTTAAGACTGTGGACACATCCAGCTCTTTATTCCCATGTCCTTTATTGCTACACTTATAATGGCTGAAGGATACCTCAGGCTGCAAAGGGCAAGCAGAACGCACTGTGTTAGCACAATTAGGCCAGATATTTTCCGAGTATGTGTTAGTGTCTGTAACCACTTTATGATAATCAGAACATTTTTCACGAAAAAACAAACCACGCCAACACTTTCCTGATATTCTTACATTCAAAACTGTGTCCTTCATAGAACAGGTAAAGTATTTGAAAATGAAAATTTAAATGATAATTTTAGATACCATTGAAAGGTTAGGTAATGTAAAAATGAGGAAAACACAGACTTTTCACAATCAAATGAACTTGATCTGAACTCTATTTTAACCCCTTAATAATGATGTCTTCATAGGCAGGTTGTTAGACTCTCTGAGCCTTGGTTTTTCTCATGTGTAACTTGCATATGTGGTGTTTGTGGAGGAGCATTGGGAGCATAGATGTAACAGTGCTTATATTGAGGAGGTTTTCAAAGGAAAATGAGAATATGTAGATTAAGTACCCAGTATGGGAGTATGGCTTATACTACATACTCAATAAGTGGTGTTGTTTTAAATTGATATTATCATTGCTGTTTTATGAAAAATGTGCAGAATCTACATAATTTTTATATTCAGGATCAAAAACATGCAATTGTAGTCTCTTAGTTTAACATTGGCAAAAACTATTACATGTTTTCTAGAGTAGTATGATTGTATTATAATTGTTTTTAATCAGTACTAATTAAGGACCTAAAATTGGCCAAGTGGTAAGTTGGGTATAAGGTAAATACAACGTTGAATAAAACAACATGTTTCCTCTCAGATTTTATAAGAAGACAGTTTCATAAATAATTATTTTAAAAAATAAAGACAGCTGCAGAGAAAAAAATATATTTTACAAATCAACAAGGAAAGAAATAATGCATATTACTTTCATGTAAAAAGAAAACATTATGAAGTAAATATAGCTATCGGCAGGTAAGGCATTAAGAGGGCTGGGAAAATTTGCTTTTTCCACTATTCCTCTCTCTTCCCTCCTCTGCAGATAAATTTTACAGTGAGCTTTTTTATATAGCACGAGGTTAAATATTTGGCTAAAATATAAATATCTTTGAGAATGGGGCATATAAAAGCATTTTCAATCAATTATGGTGTTGCTTAATGCATTTATCAGTCTTTCATAAATTATGAAAAAGGAAAAAGGAAAAAAGTACAAACATGAGGGTCATCTACAAGGGGTGGGAGATGTTCTCAGAAGAGAAAGATAATTTTGACCCACTTCACAGTTTGCCTTCGGCTTACATTAAGCAGGAGTGATTTAAGTATTTTTCAGTGAGCAAAAAGTAGAATTCAGAAACACTTAAGGATAGTTTCAGTAGAAAGTTGGGAGGTGACTACTGACATTTGGAAGAATTCCTTTTCTTTTCATTTATAAATTTACTTTGTCAGAAAGCAAACCAACTCATTTGAAACCAGCGAGACATCTCTAGGGCTGTGGCTTTCAAATTTTTTAACCGTGACCCGCAGTAGGAAATGTATTTTACAGTGGTTGGGGCATAGCGTACCAAACATATCACACAGGCGCACACACACAGAGATGCACAAACACACAGACACATACACACAACTAAACCAAAGTTTCACCAGATAGTACATAACCTACAAGTGATGCACTCAGATATTTTCTATCTATTCTACTTTAGTCTAATTTATTTTTTGTTTTTTACAAAATTCTGGTCACAACTCACTAAATTGGTTTCATGGCCCATTAATGAGGCATGACCTGCAGGAAACCTTGCTGCTCTAGAGGAGGTTTTATCGGCCATCCATTGGCATTGCCTACCTGCTACGACTAAGGATAATAACTCTGAAAAAAAGGTCTCTTCCTCCTGGCATGGCCTATGAGACATCCTTGAAACCCACAGTCTGAGTCCCCACCCTATCTTTCTGTAAAGGTTGTAATTTAAAAATACCATTTAGGAAGATAAATGCTCTTTTTTATTCAATTTGATTTTAATTATTTTTGTAGAGAAAGGAGTCTCACTATGTTGCCCAGGCTAGTCTCAAACTCCTGGGTTCAAGCAATCCTCCTGCCTTGGCCTCCCAAAGTGCTGGGATTACAGACAGGAGCCATTGTGCCTGTCTTATTCATCAAATATCTGTCCTTTTCTTGGTAACTTCACAGCAAATTACCTATCAAGTGATGTACTTATTGGATAGTTTTTTTATACCTCTAAAACCCAAAGATGAAAAGTCACATATTTGCTCCTAATTAGGCAATTTTGAAATGACCTCTTGCTCACTCAGGACAAATTACACTCTCTACCATGTAGGAAAAAAAGAGAATACCGATTTCATTTGTTTGCTAGTTAAGGGAACAGTATGGCCAGGAAATTTGGTGGGTCGTTTTGTTTTTCTATACATCTACAAGGTGTAAAAAAAGATATTCTGGTTTTCATTCAAAATATTGAAATGAAAAAGAGGAAATTACAACTCCCCAACTCTCATAGAAACCATGGAATTTCAGAGCTGGAAGATGAAAGGGAAAAGGGTAGAGGACACATGTAAGTGAGCTGCTCTGTTTTTTTAACACACTTATAAAGGACAATTCTGGTCTTCATCCAAAGTAATGGCTTGAGAAAGATGAAATTAATACTCTGAAACTTGTAGCTTTTGCAACAGCAGATGTGCATCAAAAGATACTTATTGCCTAGAAATCACAAGGTTTTTCAGAACTAGAAGAGATGTTTGAGATCATTTGACCCCACCTCTTTTTACATATGAAGAAACTGAGGCAGAAGGGAATGTAATCTGCCTAGGATTATACAGCTACTGAATGGCAGAACTGGGACTGGTAGATTCAGGTTCAAAGAAGCAGTCCTCTTGTGTGCATTCGCGCGCGCGCGCACACACACACACACACACACACACACACACACACACACACAAAAATAGACAGTGTAACCTTTGACTCCAAAAAAAAAAACAGTCCTTTGCCAGTGAAGCTAAAGCAAATCTCGAGGTTATCAGAAGTCCATCGCTACCATCCAATTACCAAATCACTAATAATCAGTGAGACAGATTTTCCCTGAGTCCAGATGACCCCCTGGGAGTGAATGAGACACTTAAAAAAGCTACGATCATTCTTTCAGGCCCCTGGGGTATCATTCAGTACAGTGGATTCAGCACTTCTGGGCCTTGAAAGAGTTTCTGAAGCATTCTCTAGTGTCTTACCCTCTGTGGATAGTTTACTCTCCTGGAGAATCTGGTTCAGTGACAGCATATGGGCTGTGCTCTGCAGTTAAAGCAGCCAAACACGATTATATCCTGTGCTCTACCAGAGGCTGGGCATGTTCAGTATGGGTTTCTTGTTATGTATGCTTGTTGAGACAGCAGAAGGAGAATGCACGGTGCTCACTTTGGTGGCACATACAATAAAATTGGTAAGATACAGAGATTAGCACGAACCCCTGCACAAAGATGACACACGCATTCATGAAACTGTCCATAAAGAAAGAGAACACAGGATTGTAACCGGGTGATAGGTGAACCACTAATTATAAAATTTTCTGATCTTTAAACCAAATCTGTTAAGTGACCTCTTGGCTGTTTCCTTGTGTTTTTAGAAATTAAGAGCTAGTTCCAGACTTTTGTATTCTGCTGAAAGAGCTGTCCTTGTGAGTCAAGAAGATTGACTTTTTTTTCAGTTATTTTTTTCCACCTGTGTCTTGAATATCTCACAAACACAAGAGCAGTGAGAAAATAATTCCCACTTTGTTAAACAGCTAATGAATCTGGAGGATCTATTTGATCTTCTAATGAGACCAGATGTCTTAAGAGAATTCTGGGAATGGATATATCAGAACTTCCCCTCGATGAATGATTCTGATACATGTACGTATTTAAAAAAATCTAAATTAATCCTGACTGAAACTCCCAACTAGCATTTCTGTGGAAAATAGGTCTCAGAGACTCAGGGAGTTTGTGCCAAAGGAATTTAGCAGCCATGCTGAAGTCAGTT